GGAATGAACTCTCCTGGACTGTCAGAGGTTTTCTGGAAGTGTTAAGGTGAATCAAATTTCAAAGAAAGGGTAAGCATATGAACTGACTGCAAATTGGCAGGGAGAAAGAAGGAATTTCTTGTATTTCCTTTTAATTAATCAGTTTCCTGAAAAAGGGTGCATTATTGACAGGATACTGTTTATCTAGTAAATATTAGTTGCATTTTGCAAATACAGATAATACTAATCTTTTAAATGAACCCTTCTGTTTCAAGTGTAAGAGATGTGCTTTTAATAATACGATGAGTTTTAATGAAAAGATTTTTTAAATGGAAAATTACTGGCACAGGTACATAAAAATACAAATTAATGAGCCCAAATCATACTACCTTATCTTCTTTTTAGATACTATTATTTCCCCAGTAATTTCTTTAATCTTTTGATTGTTTCCCATTTTTCACCTTTTCTTAGAATATATAGAGACTGTTTCAGACTCAATTCCCTAAGTGTCTAATGTCTAGTAATGTTTTAAATCTAATGATGTAAAAGTACAGTTATTACTAAATTACATAAAAACATTTTCCTTCTGAAATAAGAGCTGATTTAAGAATTAAGTACCAACTATTAAAAGAATTTATTCCACTTTAACTGTATGCATTGTTTTGTTTTCTCAGAATGGGAAATGGATTTTAACTTCTTTGAGGCCAGTGACTTAAGTCTTTTTTTTTTTTAAGAGAAAATTAAGATTACGTCTTAATTTTGTTTCTCAAGTCATTTAGTGCAGATTACACTTGTTTACTAAATACTGGTCTTTTAAATTCTGATAGTTACTAGTCTCTGTTGGATACAATTGATTGAATTACCTTTTAGTTATCAGGCAGGAGGTCAGTACAGTTTGCTGGTAATAAAGTTCTAAAAAGTTACCTAAAATAGCTATTCTGAGCAATATTTCCATGTATGATATTTTTCTTTTGTTAGAAGAATGTGTGTGGAACGTTCTAGGAAAAGACCTTGGTATGAGTCTATTGAATATGTTCAGCAGAGCAGAGAAACCTCCCATTCTGTTGTGGTAGGTTCAAAAGTCATTTTTTACCTGTTTATCAGAGGAAAAAAATGAGGATTTTTTTAGTCCATTGCTAAAGATTTCAGATACATTGTAACATGTTCTGTTAACCCCCTGAAATTCATTTGTAAAGGGAAATGATCATGAGGTGGTATTTGAGGGATTGCCAGAACAGTTCTCTGGACCCCACTGGTCCTGAAAGGTGGGTCTCCACTGAAGGCTGGTTCATGTATGCCCTGTGCTTCCCACCGTCTGCAGTTTAAGGCCTGTTCTCTGAGTCCATTAATCTGTTCCATCGCTGACCTTCTCAAGTGGTTTTAGAATCTTTAAATTTGAACAGTAAGTGTTCTTTAAATTGTTCGTATAGAGTTAACGGAGTGTTTGCTAATGGAGGGCTTAAGTAGGATGCTAAGGAAAAGTGGCAGGCCCAGATTCTTAATCTGGAGCTCATTGTTTCACTTGTAACTCACTAGTTAACTGTGAGGAGTAAGTGAAATAATGAGAAATACCTGGTTCCGCAGTTTGTACTCCACGAATGTTTGTGTCTGTTCCCTTCTTCCATTGGTAATGCTTTGCTTCCCATTTTTATGAAATACATTCATTGTTCTTCTCAGTACCGAAAGTGTGTATATTGAACTTGAATAATTTCTAAAAAAAGATAAGGGATTCCTAGCAAAAATACTTCTGGTTAATTTTAAAGTAGAAGAAAAGACATACTTTTTTTGAGATAAAGTTGAAGCTTGTTTTCCATGCTGTTCAAACTTGTCACTTTTTTTCTTTTTGCCTTTGGGAAAGTTTCACATTAACAGCATGAGAACTTAAAAATACAGTTGATGTTGAAAGAGCTTAACTGAATATTTTAAATTGGTGGTATTGGAAAGAGAGTCTGTAAAAATCCAATTAAACTTTTGAAAGCTCTATCCTGTTGAAATAACTTAAAGGAAGTCAGTTTGGTTTCCCAGAAGTACTGTGCATAGTGTTTCTGGCTGAGGAAGAAAGGCCCGAACTACTATTTGGCCAGAAATTGGGTACCAGCTTCCTCTATGATGTTTTACTTGAGCCGTGTTGACACTTGAATAAATCCCATAGAAACTGCCCCAAGTGGGGAATAGTTGTCCTTGCTTTTATAGTAAAGACTTGGCCCTGTAACTAATGTCCTAGACACTGGTAGTATTCTTGGCTGAATAATCTATAGATGTGCATAAATTGAGAGCAAAACCCCAAATGTTTTAGGAACTTTAATGGCTACCGTTTTTCAACCAATCAGTAAACTTTAAAAAATATTGGTGCAGTTTATTGCTTCATAGCCAATAAAAATAGTGAACAAAAAGAGTCTAGTGTCCCTTGTTTCTTAAATAAACTCTGAAAATTCAGTTCTCTTGCTATTTAATTATTAAATGCAAAAGACTAGAATGATTTCTTTTAAAATTAGAGCACTTCATGAATTTTTTTCCTTGCCTCAGACCTCAGAAGTAACTTTCTCTTTCCATTAATTGACAGTGAAGTATTTGACCAACATGTTTGTTTCTGCGATTTATTTTTCACGAGGAACAAAAACAAATGGCTTGTGCAAAAAGTTAACTTTTTTCTCTTTGATTTACATTTACAAGAGTGTGTGCTAGATTTACTCCTAGTATTAAATAATATGAACACAAATTGAGAGAGAAGAGTTTACTACAGTTACTTAAAATGTTTGTGTTAGTTTTAATTCTTAGAATTATACTGGAAAAAAAAAACTAGGAATTGCGAGTATATATTTTAAATGAAAAAAAAATTTTTTTTTTAAAGATTTTATTTATTTGACAGAGATCACAAGTAGGCAGAGAGGGAGGCAGAGAGAGAGGAAGGGAAGCAGGCTCCCTGCTGAGCAAAGAGCCCGATGTGGAGCTCGATCCCAGGACTCTGGGATCATGACCTGAGCAGAAGGCAGAGGCTTTAACCCACTGAGCCACCCAGGTGCCCCTTAAATGAAAATTTTTAAAAAATTATGGATTTCTGTCTTGGTTCAGAGCCAGAGGAGAGGAGAGAGAGGAAAGAAGATTTTTGGGGACGCATACCATAGAAGTTGAAAGAAAAATCTTAGGAGATAATAGGTACAAATTTCAAAGGGCTGTTCTGCTCCTTTGTCCTTACGGGATTTTGTTTTAAGAGACAGAGTAGTTACCAGGACAGCAAAAATAAATTAACTAACAAGCTGTAGAAATCTCAGTTGTTGTGGACAGTGTCTTGTAAAATTTGGACTCAGTTGAATAATTTTAAAACTTCCTGAACATGATACTGCTAAATCAGACAGGTTGTTGGGTTTCATTGTGGTACTAAGTAGAGTGTTCAAAGTGACTTGGAGGCTCTTCTCTTTCACAAGAAACCACGTTTTAAGGAATTCAGGAGTGTGACTATTCACAGTTTTAAAAGGTATCCAAATAAAACTGAGCAGTAAGCCAACAGTAGTATTTTTTTTTTTTAAAGATTTTATTTATTTATTAGAGAGAGAGAGCGCGAGCATGAGCACAGGCAGGCAGAGTGGCAGGCAGAGGCAGAGGGAGAAGCAAGCTCCCCGCCGAGCAAGGAGCCTGATGCGGGACTCGATCCCAGGAGGCTGGGATCATGACCTGAGCCGAAGGCAGCCGCTTAACCAACTGAGCCACCCAGGCGTCCCAACAGTAGTACTTTAATAAGAAAGTTTATCTCAAAACTTTCAAATTCATAGAAAATTCTAACATAATGGAGCATAAATAATAGAAACTTACTAGTTAATGCTCAGTGAAACTTCCTCAGGTTTTGGGATTTATTTAGGGGAATACTTGGGGTTAATTAATTAATTAAATAGGGTTAATTAACTCTTAAACTGGGAGTTAAGACTGCATTATCAATATTAAGTGGATTTGAAAGATTAGCAACTAGCAAACTTCAGACAACATTAAGAAAACTACAAATTGCGGTGGGATTGTGGCCTAAATGTCAGTTTACCAGAGTTAGAAAGTGCTGTGAAAGAATAAGGGGATTGATTGATTAGAGACTTTTAAAACAGGTATAATGCTTGTAAGCTCCATGAGACTGGGCATTTTTGTTCCTGTTGACCACTGTGTCCCATATACTCAGGATGGTGCCTGGCAGGTAATAGACACAGGGCAGATACATGTCTATATCAGCAAATGTTAGAAGTACTACAGTTCCATGATTCTTCACCAAAGTGAGGTTACTGGTATCAGACTTCCTGATCTGGTTGAGGAATTTATTAAATATAAGATGCATAAAGCTTCAGGACCAATTCAACTTTAATATGTTCCTAGCTTTATTTTGCTTTTATCTGACTGAACAATGGGAAGGTGTGAATGTGTGTGTGCTGTAGTGAATTTCGAAGAGTGAGTGCCCCTTCATCCATTTTGGAGGCCCTGTGTTCAGACCGCTAACATACTCACATGAAGGTTCGTCTGGCTAATCGCAAAACCGGACGCCATTTGAAAAGATTGCAGTTGTGTGGTACATTGAGTTCGCGGTATTGGTGATTTGAGCAGCCTCGGAATGTTTTCCTCCCTTGGCCGGTAGAGCCATTAGTCCTGTGCTGGTTTAACTTGGGTTTGTTGTAGAAGTTGAGTTCCCACAGCGGTGATAAATCCCCCGAGGGCATCTAGTCATTTCATGGATTTATATGTTTGGAAACAGTACATAACAAATAAGCACCCATTCGTCTTGCACATTCGAAATCACAATTTTCCTGCTCGTGAGAAGTCCAGATACATCTATCTTTCTGTAATTAGGTTGAATACTACCTAGGAAAGAGCGGCTCTCTTCACTAGGTTCTTGAGGAAGTCTAAGATCCTAATGGAATTTATGAACCAACCTTCTCTTGGACCTTTTTTTTTTTTTTTTTAAAGACTTTTCCTTCTCAGATAGTGTCTGCAATGTTTGTCTTGCAAGCAGGCCCCCCCCCTCACCTCCTCTTGGTCCGTTGTCACAGGTGAGAAGCCGTACAAGTGCACCTGGGAGGGCTGTGACTGGAGGTTCGCGCGCTCGGACGAGCTGACCCGCCACTACCGGAAGCACACCGGGGCCAAGCCATTCCAGTGCGGGGTGTGCAACCGAAGCTTCTCCCGCTCCGACCACCTGGCCCTGCACATGAAGAGGCACCAGAACTGAGAGCCCGGCTGTGGCCTGCCGTGCCTATGCAATTCACACTGACGTTCTGCAGTTCCTTTGGCAAAGTTTTAAACTACAAACCTAACCTATATATATAAAAAAAAAGAAAAAACAAAAAACTGGAAATGTATATTTTGTATATTTGAGAAAACAGGGAATACCTTGTATGAATACCAAAGCGTTTGGTCCTTTTGAGAATCTGGAATGCTTGCTGTAATGTATATGGCTTTACTCAAGCAGATCTCATCTCCTGACAGGCTGCCACATCTCAGTTGTGGGTAGGGGGGTGGGGGTGCAGGGTGTGTTTGCAGTGTTTCTACCTAAGCACCATCATTTAATGTGACAGTGTTTAGTAAACAAGTCAGTTGGCAGGCACAGGAAGAAGGCTGGATTGTATGTCAAGATTTTACTTGACATCAAGTAGTTTATTTTTTTTTTTTTCAATATTAGATAATTCCTTAGAGGTGCGCAGTATACCTGGCAATTCACAAATAGCCATTGAACAAATGTGTTTGTTTGTTTTTATATGAGTTGCCTATATTTGCTATTCAAAATTTTGTAAATACGCAAATCAGCTTTATAGGTTTATTACAAATTTTCTAAGATTCTCTTGGGGGAAAATCATAAATAATTCTGTTTGAAAAAAACCATGAATACATTTACAGTTAGAATTTGTGGTAAAATACCTCTTCAAACTTCACCAAATTCATTTCTTTAGGAGGAAGAAATCATTCAAATGAACTTAAAAAGCAGATTCCATGCACTGATGAAAATAGGATTACTTTCAATATGAGAGACCTTTTATATGAATTGTGAACTCCAGAGCTTAAAGATAAAATACGTAAAAGTGAAAACCTCTAACAATAAGCTAAACAGTATCGTTTTAAAAAAGAAGGACTTGGCAGCTCTCATGTGGCAATGTTGAATTTATGATGCAGTTTTCACATATTGGAATGTTCGCTTATGCAGTACTGTTGGTTAAATGACAATTTATATGGATTTTGCATGTAATATACAGTGAGACACAGTAATTTTACCTAAATTACAGTGCAGTTTAGTTATAATCATTGTTAATACTGACTCAGTGTCTGCCTTTAATTATTAAATGACATGTTGAAAGCGTAAGGAAGCAAGTGCTACATATATGCAAAATAATAGTAATGTGATGCTGATGCTGTTAACCAAAGGGCAGAATAAAGCAAAATGCCAAAAGGGGTCTTAATTGAAAATGGAAACTTAATTTTGTTTTTAAAATATTGTTTATCTTTATTTATTTTGTGGTAATATAGTAAGTTTTTTTTAGAAAATTTTCATAACTTGATAAATTATAGTTTTGTTCGTTAGAAAAGTTGCTCTTAAAACATGTAAATAGATGACAAACGGTGTAAATATTTTGTAAGGCTTCAAAATGTTTATACGTGGAACATGCCTACATACAAAGCATAAATTGGTTGCTGTTTTGCTTCTTTTCCCCTCTTATTTTTGTATTGTGGTCATTTCCTATGCAAATAATGGAGCAAACAGCTGTATAGTTGTAGAATTTTTTGAGAGAATGAGATGTTTATATATTAACGACAATTTTTTTTGGAAAATAAAAAGTGCCTAAAAGATTCATGTTTTGCCTGCCTTCTTCACCTACAACAGCAAAAACAGCAAATTCCATTCCCACATTGAACCAAAGCTACCTTTGTTTAAAACAAAAAAAGGGGGTTTGTTTTAGAAATAACGATTACAAGTATAAAGGGAGATACATAAATTTCATGAATGCTGATCTCCTCCCCCTTCACTACAGACAGGTAACTGCATTTGCCTTTTCAAGGTTATTTGTTGAGGTAATGGCATACGCTCTTTTTTTAAGATTTTGTTTATTTGAGAGAAGGAGCAAGGGGGAGGGGCAGAGGGAGAGGGCTGAGCAGGAAGCCCCATCTTCACCAAAGGCAGAAGGTAGGAGTCCCCCCAGGTCGCTGCATATGCTAGTTATATTGTCTGAGGTAAATAAAACGAACTGGGCTTTTAACCTTTTTTCCCCCTTTTTAGGAGACAAAAAAAGTTTATTTAATCCAGTACAAATAAGCACATGTAGGGCTTGGTTTTTAATACCATTTTCCAATGAAAAAGATGGGGCTCCTTAGAGAAATGTTTGATATTCCAGGACCGGGTTAGCAAATAGACAAAATGAGCCTAGAGCATCTGACAGCACCAGAAAGGAAGTCCTTCAAATCCTGTGATGATGGAGGTATCTCAGAGCAACGATGAAAAGTAGGAATGAGTTACAACCCAGAGTGTAAAATAGCCATGAGCCCACACAGTAATAACTGAATTAATGGGAGAGAGGAGACAAATTGCAGAATTCCAAACAATCTTTGCAGATACTTTATCCTGAGAAGTAAAACATAACTCCCCACTCCTTAAAGTGCATGTTGCCCAGAAGGCAATATGACCAAGGGCAGGGAAAATAACTACAGTTCAGAAACCTGCCTAACCCCACCCAACAGCCTCAGCCAGGTGGTCAAGGTCCACGTGGACAGCGACAAGTAATGTCGACTGTACATAACCTTCATGTGATGAGAATGGAACTTTGCCTCTGCTGTCTACTAGAAACACACAATCAGAGAAAGCACAATTGAGGGACATTACAAAATACCAATACTCAAAACTGCCAAGGTCTTGCAAACCAAGAAAATGTGAGAAACTGTCAAAGATGAAAGGAACTCGAGGAGACACAACTATGTAAAATGTAAACTAACGGATTCTTCAACAGAAATAGGACCTAGGGAAAAACTGAGGCAATCTGAATATAGAATATAGTTTGAACAACATTGGTTCATCGTGACAAAATGTATCCTACTAATGGAAGATGTTAATAGGGGAACCTGGTGGTGGGGTTTATGGAAATTTCTGTACTTGAAATCTATGAACTAAAACTGGAATAAAACATTTTTAGAAAAGTGAAGGAAAAAATCTTTCATTATTACATATGTTCGGTAAATAAGAAAATCCCTGATGTTGGAGCTAAAGTGAAAACTGTAGTTACATAATTTGGCATGAGTTTATTCAGCTTCTCATCATTTGACTCCCCATTCTTCCCTGTCAGTCAAGTAATAACCTAGTTCACGAACACTGCGCGATTCATTGTTGAACCAGAGCTGCTCATTCTTTCATGAGGGAAAACATAATTTCTTTGGCTTAAATTTACTTGCAGAAATTGAGATACTAAGGCTGCAGGCTTCCTGAAGCAAAGACAACTCCCTGTGTCTAGAAATAACTAAGAGCTGTATCAGTATTCGGTTGTAATTGATAATTGTATGAACGCATAAGTTTTCATGTAAGTAGAAACCAATCTTGCTTTGGCTCCCAGCACTTAATTCTCTTTAGCTTCCTAACACAGGGGATGGCTGTTTCCAGTTCTCTTTCCTTCTCTGAACTTTTTTTCCCTTTTTGTAGGCTGCCCTTTCTCCTCACAGGCCAGTTACCTGTTCCATGTTGTCTGCCAAACCTCACTTCAGACCCTCGGTCCTTACTAGCCACACTCAAGGGCACTTGTTTCTTTCTTTGGAAACATGATACTTGAGCATTTGAATTGTTTTCCGACTTCTGTCCTGTTTTTCTTCCTCAGATTGTCAAATCCTTGGAAGACATACCACTTCTTCGATTGCCTTTGTCTTCCTGCTTTTACTGATTGATAGATCATGTTAAAAAAAAAAAAAAACTTCATGGTACCGTGTGAGTTGTCTTAGCCCAGAGTAACTGAATCAATTTAATGTTCGCCAAATTTCCTCTTCATGTTGTACTGTTGATACAGTATCCTTGCTAGATTTTTGATACAGTGTGTGATTAAAACTGTGATTATAATTTGAGCAAACAGGTGATGCCTTGTGAATTTTTTTTAACATTATTAGTGAATTTTCAAGGAAGAATTATTGTTGACAACTATGCTTAACACACTTTTCAAAGCTGCAGTTAATTTAATTGCTGATCAACAGCATGTCTATTACGTGAATGTCTGGTTTCAAATGTATTCTGACCAGTCTCTTGGTACAAGCTACCCCAAATAGACCAAAATTGAGTAATGCATCAGGTTCTGACTGACCAGAATGCAATTATGTAATTTGATTTCAAGTTAGTAATGCTTTGAGTTTTAACTGTTTGTTAAGTTTTTATTCTCCCCACCCCTAACCCCAAGTTAGCTTGTTTGGTTTTGCTTCATTTTGTCATTTCATTCCTGTGTTGCGGTTTGTGTAGTGTATCACTTCATGGCGTCCAATTAGAGAATCCTTAGATAAGCATGACCTGGCCTGCCTACATAAAAATGTTCTTCAAAATCTAGCTAGATTCCTTTTCCTATCTTCAGCTAAGCCCACCAGAGCTCTTTGGATTAACTCATGGGCCATAACATAACAAAGAGAGGCTTTATTCTCCATTACTAAGTCTGGTCTCTACTTTGAAGTTGACCAAATTCCTTCTTTGGTTATATTCTTTACTGCAGTGTGAAACTAACCAATAGAAGGCTTTTAATTTTTTTTTTTTTTTAAACTCATACCAGAGTTATAGGTGACAAAACCTGGCAATTGTGTGATACTCATTTTAACAGTGACTGTTAAGGGGAAAAAAGTGTAATAATAAATCACACAAGAGCTGTGATACATAGGAAGAGTTTGTTACATACCTGTAAACCAGTGATTTTTATCCATTCCTCTTGGTGTATATCATCTCATGAAAGAATTTGGGTTTGTGGAAATGGTAATATTCTTGAATTGAAAGTAAATGCTTAATGCTATTTGGCCACTGATGATACAAGAATTGAATAAGAAACTTAAGAAGTCATATATAGACTTTGAGTAAAAGCAGTAGATTACATGCATCTCATTTTGTAGCCTCTTAAAACCCCACCAAAACAAAGGGCCTTTTTCCTCTAAGGCAGTATTTATGAGGAAATACTGGAAATACAGGAAAAGAGAAACACTAACAAACCTGTGGGAGCTGGAAAGAGCTAGATAGAAGAGGCAACAAGCTGAGCAGGAGTGAAAAAGCTAATTTTTTTTTTTTTTTTAAGATTTACTTATTTATTTTAGGGCGGTGGGCAGAGGGAGAGAGCA